GCAACACAAGTCTGCATTTGCCATCAGGTCTACAGCATAGGTTTGGAGCTTGGACCAGGTCTGCAGTTCGTACCAGGTCTGCAGCTCTAATGAGGCGCAGGGGTACAGATCGCACCAGGTCTACAGCTAAAACAAGGCGGTTGAAGGTCAAAGCACCTGGATGATACGCAGTTCACACCTGGAAAGCAATACAGCAACGCAAAGCCACTCGCTTGGCGGGCTGGTTTCGCGAAAGGTCACCTGTGTCTTTTTCAACGAGATCGGATCTGTCTTCGTCACATTCACCAAGTCTACAGTTGGTACCACATCTTTGGCCCAGGTCTACGGTAAGTGCCAGGTCTACAATTGGCACCAGGTCTACAGCAAGCACACTAGGTTTACAGTCAGAACAAGCTGCAAGCAGACGACGCAGCAGCGGAAGCGGAATATAGCACAACCAAGTGGAATAGAATTGACTATAGCTATAGGTCTGGAGGTTCAGTTGGCTATTGACCGCAGTGCCAGCTCAGTGCACTGCAACGCCAAGCTCTGAGAATCCGGTCCGCCTATGAAATGGACTCGGGCTAGGGTTGACTATGGCTATAGGCCTGGGATAGGCTTGGCTACGGATTAGGCCTGGGACAGGGTTGGCTATGGCTATAGGCCTGGGATAAGCTTCAGTACAGCTTAGGCCTGGGACAGGGTCGGCTATGGCTATAGGCCTGGGATAGGCTTGGCTACAGCTTAGGCCTGGGACAGGGTTGGCTATGCCTATAGGCCTGGGATAGGCTTGGCTACGGCTTAGGCCTGGGACAGGGTCGGCTATAGCTATAGCCTGAAGGCTGGCTATAAGTGCACTCGCAACGCTAAGTTGTCGGTGCCCAGTTTGCCATGAACGAGCTCTCTGGCTGCTGTCTGCCATAGCCAAGTGCCTACCGGTAGTTCGCTATGAACGAGCTCTCCGGCTCCCGCCCACCATAGCCAACCCTCTCGGTGCTGCCGGCAAACCTCCCTTCCCAGTCTAGCCTTGCTATGTCGCTGAGTTCAAAGGGCATTTAAGGCACTGATGGCTCACCTATCGCAGAGATTGACAGTCCCCTACAGCTGGTACCAGGTCTGCAGTTGGCACTGGGTCTACCACCGGTACCAGGTCTACAGTTGGCACAAGGTTTACAGATGGAACAAGCTGCGGACTAACGTAGATTGCGCAGCTCCGCACAACAGGATTCATTCTAGTGGATGGTCGTCAGTGCAAACGAGTGAGAGTGCAAGCAAGCCGGACAACTGAGTCTAAAGCTAGGCCAGGTCTACAGTTGGTACCAGGTTTACAGCTGGAACAAGCTGCAGAGTGCCGTAGCGCGGCAACTCTGCACAGCAGGATTCTTTCTAATAGACGCCACAACGCCGGCCAAATGAATGATAGTGCAAGCGATTCGCAGAAACATACACAAGACGACTATGGTAGTGGGATAGAGGACAATGCAGAGAGCATGTAATCGTCCAGAAAGAAAAGCTAGCAGCAGCAGCAGCACCAGGAGGAGGAGGAGGAGGAGGAGAAGGAGAAGGTCAGAACAACAAGTAGGAATGTGTATGTACATATAATGCAAGTGCATTTATGTATGGTGACATCTATGCATTTGGACAGAAAAGACAGCAAAGAGGGGAAGATGCTTTGGGTCATGGAGGGATGGCTGGTTGGAATGCAAGTATACAAGACACAAAAGAACAATAGAAGATTTTTTGGAGCTTACCACCCGTCGCAATTGCAATTGCTATTGCAGTCGCAATTGTCATTGCCATCGCAATTGCAATTGCAATCGCAATCGCAATCGCAATCGCACTTGCTATTGCAATTGTCACTGCAGAAGCGATTGCAATACTGCAAGCACAATCGCAATTGCGATTGCGATTGTGATTGCAATACAGCAATCACAATTGTGATTGCGATTGCAATACCGCCATCGCAATTGCTATTGCAATCGCAATCGCAATCTTTGATGAAAGTGCCAGGAGCGATTCGAAGCATATGAAGAAATGCCAGTGCGCGCAGAGAGCAAATGCCGCACATGGTGAAGCCTCTACACTGGAAATAAAAGATGCAGTAGAGAAGACAGCACAAAAAGGACATTTGCAGTGTTCAAGATCCAAACGGCCTGGTGTTCAGCGACTTGCTACTCTAATTCCCACTCCTGCTCCTCTACAGTTCTGGATGCCTTAACTAAAATGGAAGGGTATCTACGCATGCCTGCTGAGTGAGGGTATGTACGCAAAAATGACGGCTTTGTAAGGGTATGTACGCAAAATGACTGCTGAGTGAACAGAAGCGAAATGCAAGGGACATTGCATGATGGGAGATGTTTAAGCTTTATTCACACACATGGCTGCACTCTCTACAATGCTTTTTTTGGTGCTTCTTCCCTCAAAAGGGCCCCCGGTAGAGCGAACTAGCGTGTCCTTATTGGTCTTTCTTCATCAGGAATAAGCATTGGCGAATCAATCCAATGCAGACCTTCTGGAAACGGTCCATAGGATGGTTGCAGTTGCTGCCCCTCAGACTGACCGCCAGGGCGAGAAGATCGTGCGTTGCTCGGTACGACGGTCGCGGCCGCTCTCATGCCCTCCTCATGTCTTTGCTGACGCATGGATGCAAGAATTTCTCTGCTCCCTCTCGCCAAGCCATTCCATCGAGCTCGGCCAGCCGGGGGGGGAGACGTTGGCCGCACTTCCACTGGCTCTGTTATAACCTCTCTGTCAGAAGCAGTCTGTGATGCCTCCTCCCTCGATTCTCGAGCTCGTGGTCGCCCCCGCGTAAGGAAATAAACCTCTTTACCAACACACCTTAAGAAAAACGCCACACCCATCCCCGCCAATGATCCAAGCATCACTACGACAGATGGATTGAACTGCACAACAGCGCAAGAACAAAACCAAAACACACACAGAAATCGACACACATAAGTTTTGTCTGCACGGCAAACGACAGGCAACAAATATATATTGCTTAAAAGTTAAAAGTGAAAACTACACCCAGTTTTGAAAGTCATTCCACATTCCAAAGTTCTTTCCTTTTTTTTTCTTTTCTCTTTTTCTTTTTAATTAATTAATTAATTAATTAATTAATTAATAATAATTTGGAACTTATGATGAAGTTCAAACTTCAAACGATGAGCCATGAACATTCTCACTTCCCAATTGATCGCTAAGTTCGCTAACCACATTCCTGATCACTATTCAAGATTTTCTTCCCCTCATCAACCCAACACCCCAGCTCCTCACTACCTCCCCCTCCCTCCACTTCCTGGCTCCCCCCCGCCCCCGATTTTTTACCCTTTTTCTTCTTGCTTTTCTGCACTTCTGCGAGGGCCAAGCGGCTCTCGGCAGTGAGGTGTACCGTCTTCACCCGAATAGAACACCCGGTCAATATAACCGTATTCAGGGCCGCTTTCAGTGCAGATCCGGCTATAAATGATCGGGCGTTCTGTTCGGGTGAAGACGGTTCATAAACCTTTTCTACATGTCTTCATATGGGACGCTGGGGCCTGATTCCCAGCACGTGCTGCTCCCCACGAATAGTTTGGAGCATGAAAAAAAAAAAAAAAAAAAAAAAAGTAAGCTTTGAGAGGGCTGAACGCGGTAGGGGTGGCATAAGGGCAAATTGATCAAGCTGTGGATGCAAGGGGCCTGGTTGGGATCATTACCAGACCGGTACCGCAAGACGCCGGACAGGGCTGGTAGGGACCCCTGACTGGCTACATATGGAGAGCGGCCGAGGTGCTTGGCGCACAAGTATCAGGAGACAAAGGGAGGAAGGAGGCAGGGACAGCCATAGCTAGCCGCCATAGCTGGATGAGAGAGACGACAGAAAGAAAAGGTGCTGGCACAAGGAGAGGAGTTTCCCTGGAAGAAGGGAAAGAGCAAAGGGAAAGAAAGAGTTGGGATGGGACATACCTGGCGGTCACCGAGAAGAGATCGAGCGTGGTACATTCCTCGTTTAGGCATCGAGAAACATCAGAATTGGAGCAACTCACAGTCTAGATACATCGGTGTAGTGTAGTGTAGTGTAAACTTCCGTCTTCACACGAATAGAACACCGGTCATTAACGCTGTATCTGGGGCAACTTACAGTCTAGACACAGCTCTAATGACCAGGTGATCTATTCAGCTGAAGACAGACAGACAGACAGACAGAAGTGTCCTGTGCGGACCCTTCAGAGGATCCGCCTTCGAAAAAAAAAAAAGAAAAAAAAAAGGGGATTGGCATGAAACTGGTCTGTTCCGACACTGAGTGAGGTCTCAAACAATGAACGCAATTCTCTGTGTAAGGCCCCTTTCTTCTTCTTTTTTTTTTTCTGATAGTTGCCTGGTCGCGATGTGCACGGTGGTCACGAGACTTCGGTGGGCAAATTTTTAACTTGGGTTTCTCCAGAGAGGTTTCGTTGCAATTCTCCGGGTTTCCCATTAATAAAAAGCGAGCAGGCAGTTTGAAAGAGATCTTCCGTTTTTTTTTTTTTTTTTTTTTTTTTTTCAGCACCAGATGAATCCACACCAAGTCCTAGTGTATACATGCATTCACATTTTGGTGGACGTATCTGGCTTGAAACAAGACCAGATTCAGTCCAGAAAGCCCCAGTGTGAGTCTGCAGTTACACTAGCCTCCCCCTAGGCATGACATGCAGCTGTCTTGGCAACAAGCCTGCAGGACAGTGCTCCGGGTGATTCTACTCTTAAGGGCACTCTCACTTGAGCAGCACTTTTCTAAGTGTATCTGACTGCAATTACGGCCCGACCTGGATGCATCTGACTGCAATCATGGCCACACACCTCATCCCAAAGTGTCCAAGTGTGAGTACGCCCTAAGTGCCCCCCATCCATGCCGAGCTCACACACAGATTAGCAAAAGTGAGCTTCAACACTTATAGAGCTGACCAACACACTCGTCCACCCAAGCGCCTAATGTTCCAGATTTACTGATTCAACGGGAAGGGAGGAGGGGGTAGGGGGGAGGGAAAGAGCATGCGCATTCCATGAGCAAGCGATAAGTCATGAAATCCTCAGCCGAGTGCAAGGGGAGGAGCCACAAGGACTAAGGGCCAGATCCCACTGGCAAAAAGGATTGGAAGAAGTGTCTGAATCTGAACGTGTTCCATGCCTAGAGGCAAAAAAGTAGATCAATCACAAATTTTCGCACCTGTCAACAAAACACGTCCACATTCAGACGCTTACTACAATCCTCTTTGCCAGTGGGATCGCCCTAATAATCAGAAGATTCAGAACTGGGCAAATTTCAAGATGAGGGACGCAGGAAACAGATTGAATGACCGGAGGGGGTTGGCATAGTGTCTGACAACAACACAAAACACATCCAATAAGGTGGCAGCTCAAATCCCCTGGCAATGGCGCCAAATCCTGGTATAAGTCATGAAAACAGGACCAGATGCATGTTGATGAATCCTTGCAGGAGGGGGGAGGGGGTGGGAAGGGGTGTGTGTGTAGAGTATCTGACAAAATGTCAAAAACACATCCCACAGGGTAGCAGCTCAAATCCCCTGGCAATGGCGCCAAATTCTCGTGTGAGTCATCACAACAGGTACAGATGCATATTAATGAACTTGGCGCCATTGATGAACGCATTCGAAGTCGAGACTCGAGAGTTAAGACAGGATCAAGGACAGTAAAAGCAAACTCGAGATGGCGTCCAGGACAGTAAAGGCAAGACCTTGTACCCTTTTTTTTTTTTTTTTTTTTTTTTTTTTTTTTTTAACACCCTAATCTTCTAAAAGATCTAAACAGGTCACCACTGTGCAGCCATCCTTACATCTGTACGCTTCTCGAGTGCGACTGTACAAGCCACAATGAGCAAGAACTGAAGTCCAGCGTATGCCCACATGTGAGAAGGAGCTGAAACCAATGAACAAACCACCAAATGCACACATCACAGACAACAGGTCCACATCACAGCACCCACACCAGCGAGACAACGTTAGCACACCCACCCTAATCATCTGCGGTTAGGGTTGCAAATAATATAAATATAAATAATAATAATAATAATAATAATAATAATAATAATAATAATAAAATTAAAAATTAAAAACTAAAAAATTAAAAAATCTGCTCTTAAAGTGACTGGGACTCGGTACTGTAGTGGTAGAGGTACTTGGCGGCTCTTGTTTTGGCCAAAGGCGCCGGTTCAAATCCGTGCCTGCATGGAGGAGGTATGGTCTGAGGCCCGATGTACGCCCGGTGTACGGATCCATAACTACATAATACTGCATAGCAACCGCCTCACAGTAAAGGGGAAGTCGAAAGAAGAATGATAAAAAAGAATGGTTTCAGTAAGCTCTTTATTTGTGTATTTTTATGAAATTTTATCGTTTGTTTCACAAAATGTGATATGTGACAATATATAGAACTGTTTCGGTCAGTGCTTCGGCTTGTCCACGATTTTTTTTTCGTTTGTCTCGCCAAGTTCGTCGATATTGCAAGGAAAATGAGCGACAGCGAACTTCAGAAATCAAACAGCATCATACACATGAGACCAGATAGTCGTGACCTCGATCCAATAGCAGAATTGCATCACGAGTTTCACCAAATAAGAGAACAGCAAAAGCTCATAATTGACAATGCTGGAACAGTCTCATCATCATCAACGAAGAACCAATGTCGATATCCTATCTGGCGCTCGGCGCCCAGAATACAGATGGCAGATCCAATCTAGCCTATCTACAATGCCGCTGACGACGTCAACAGCTCCCCGAAGTACGAGCAGATCTCGGCCAATTCCGTTCGCCTCAAGCACCAGGTATGTCTCTCACATCACTCACAACCTCTATCCCCAACTCACAGATGCCACATGCTCCCAAGAAACCACCATGCGCCCCATCCAGCATACAGCAGCTCAGCTCGGCTATGGTTGCCTGCTCCTTCCAGCTCGTCCGTGAGCGCGTGAGCGCTGGCCAGCGTTATCGCAGCAGCGCTTGCGCAGCATGCAGCCAGTGCCCCAAATGCCGAATGTCGAGGCAGTCCCTTTGCTATATCGAAGTGGCCTGCTGCTGCGTGCGGTATGCGGTACTGGGCCCCGGCCCAGAAGCTTCCGGTAGGCCCCGAGAGGCGGAGCCTCAGTCCAAACGAATTCAGGCCCTGGGCCTGTGGTGGTTGCCCGTGTCCAACTGCCCGCGGCCTGTGTTCGGTACATGTAGCGAATCTGGCCCAGGGACTGCCTCAGTTACATTCAGAAGAGGCAGCCTGGGCCTGGGCGCTCTCAACCAACTGGCGCTGCGCAACTGCCTGAATTGCCTGAATTTCCCCAGTTGCGTGATGACCCCACAAATAGGCCTGTAGGCCCTGGGGCGAGCCTGCCTTCACTTAGGGCGGCCGACTGTACAGAAAATAGGGCCCAGTAGGGCAGATGGAGGCCTTGAGCCTCGCAATATAATGAAGCGATGTCAAAATAATGAAATGATGAGCATTTTTCAATACTCGGGGCCTTTGTTAATAATGAAACGGCGAGCATTTGGCCCTTTGTTAATTCTTGGGGCGTTTGTGAATAATGAAACGATGACCCTTTTTTACTACTTGGGGGCCGTTGGGGACCTTTTTTGTTTTTTTAATTTTAAACACTCGCCGATGTTGCTAGGAGTGGTGATAAGAGCACTCACTCCTAGCATACCTCCTTGTGACTCCAATCTCTTGGTGGGGAGTAGCACCTGGTGGAAACCGGGTCCAGCGTCCCTTTTTTTTTTTTTTTTTTTTTTTTTT